CACCAGAATTTAAACAGGGATAGAGTTTGATGAACGGATACTACTAGTTGCTGTACCTGCAAAAAACAGAGATGTATTAAGTTCACCGGATGCTGAGCCCTTTAGGTGAAAACTGTTTTAAGTTCACCGAGTTTTGAGTGCTTGTCATGAGAGTTGCACTAAGTTCACGGTTATGCGTGTGATACCCTCTGTGTTGTTATTAGCAGCAGAATGCGTGCAGGATCTCGTTGTGTATAAATGAGACTGAGAAACAACAGCGTGAGGAGGACGATGTAGCGTATCAAGCTATATTAAAGAAGTGTTCAATTTTTTTATAAAACTTTTATTTGCAAACAACACAAACAGTAACAAATATGAATTACCCGTAACGGGATAGTGAAAAGATCATAAAACAGCAAGAAAAACCCGTAACGGTATATAAGGAAACTCACCCGTAGCGGGATAGATAAAATATTATAAAACAACTAGATAAAGTGCCCGTAACGGGATATATGAAAACTCAAATTCCACACAAAACTAATTTTAGAAAATCAACAACTTTCTGGTGTTCTAATTTTATCGTCTGCTTTTATTATTTAAATTTATCTTTTTATGTGTTTATTTTATTCATGCTTTAGCCAGCCCGTTAGTTTTTAATATTTTTACTTTTATTCATGCTTTTGCAAACCAATTATCTTTCTTATATTTTTAGACTTTATAACGATAACGCAGTCACAGGTAGCAAGTCAACTGTTCAATGTGGACCATCCATTGAAGTAGGTGTTGTTTTTAAAATAGGCGAGTTCATATCACGTCTGCGGGTCACCAGTGAAGGGATAGTGGTTATCTGAAATATCAATAATCTTCTATTGAAAAGTACCCCAAGATAGAATAGAGTTAGCATGTTTACTAATGAATTGATATTTAATAATCGTAGTTGTAGTTACGGCAGAATTAAAATCTTCTAATTCTTCTGTGGACGAATTAAAGTTTTTATTCAATAATAATTTATTGAAATGAAAAATTTAAACTAAAATAAATGACAATAATAGAAAAACTTGCAGGAACAAAACACTAGCACGTCTCCTACGCATTCTTTCAATGTTACGTCTTTCATTAGTGTCCTCAACACTTCTCTTCTGCTCTTCGAGTACGTTTTGGTGTTTTAAACGCGTTACATAATACGTGTTACAGCACCACAAGTATTGATTTCTCAATTACTAATAAAAATAATAAAATTGCCGTTGAATGTGTATAAAATGTGCACTGAATAGAATTAAAATATAAGATAGAACAAACTATTCACTTTTAACATTTTGGTTCAGTTTTCATACTTTTGGCAGCTTAAAAACTTGATATTTCAACTCCATGTTGCCAACGCAAAAAAGAAATGAGGACTTTCTTTATCCCCGTGTAAGATAAATATAGATAAAGATTTGAAGAACAATGTTGCAAGTATAGATCTCATTTGTTTTGTTACATTACGAAAAACTAAAGTAGAATACCCTTTTACAAAAGATGTCTGCATATGAAAAATACCTTTCTACCAAATTTCCTTCTATTACCTTCTACTTAAGCTTTAAAACAGCACTGTGCTTTATTTTCCGATTCAAAGATCATTTTTTTATATTATTAAGGAGATTTCAAAAATTTACTTAGCTACCGAACGCTCTCGTATGTAAGAATGCAAGTTGTCTTGACTTTTTTTATAATTCCAATAACAGATGGCGCCACTGGTACTGTTAATCAAGAAAGATTTTGTTTTGTTATTTTTTCTTCCCCTTTTCAGTTTCAGTTTAGATTAAAGTCATTATGCTGGTAAGATGAGTAATATTTTATGTTTGGCAATATGGCCATTGAAATTTCAATTACTCATTTATAATTCAATGAAAAATATTTCTATGTTATGTACAAATCATGCTGTGTTAAATCAATCAAAGAAATAAAAGTAAATGTTGTGCTAAGTTTTCATTATTTTCATTTTCCCACATTGTATTAGTTTCTATAAATTTAATGATATTCTACTTAATTTTTATGATTTTTCCTTTATATAAGTTTATGATTTATTTAAGGTTCATTCCATTTCAATTAAGAGAGTTAGATAAAAGTATTTTATATTGCTCTAGTTAATATTGTTTTTTTTTATCTTATTTTCGGTCCGTCGATAAATCTTTGATCTTAAATATTGTATTTTGTAATTATAATGGAAACTTTAAAGAAAAGACGTAGTATTTTGAAAGGTAAAGTGAAGCGTATAAACAATATTCTGAAACCGAAATTTATGTCTGGGGAAATAGAAAGAGCGGAATTAGATGTTTTTTCGGCTCAAATAAATGAAACATGGGTGGAGCTTAATGAGATTCATACGGAAATTATCATTTCTTGCAAGAATGAGGAAGAGGCAAGCAATATGAAAGAATTTGATGATTTGGCATCTAATATTGATACGTTGCGAATTAATATTGCGAGGGAACTGTCGGAATTGAAATCAAAAGTAAACAACACTAATAATGGCGGCGTTTCTCCAGATGAATCGAAACCGAAACTAAATGAATCTTGTTTAAAGTTGCTCAAATTCGAGTTACCGAGTTTTTATGGAGATTTCAATAACTGGATGTCATTTAAAGAATTGTTTTTGAGTTCCATAGATAAAAATCCAGAAGTAACAGAACTTCAAAAATTTCAATATTTGTTTGCTAGTTTAAAAGGTACTGCACACAAGCTTATTTCAGGATTTTCGCTCACAGATGAAAATTATAAGCACNAATAATTGGATGTCATTTAAAGAATTGTTTTTGAGTTCCATAGATAAAAATCCAGAATTAACAGAACTTCAAAAATTTCAATATTTGTTTGCTAGTTTAAAGGGTACTGCACACAAGCTTATTTCAGGATTTTCGCTCACAGATGAAAATTAAAGCATGCTTGGCAGACTCTAGTTGCGAGATATGATAATAAACGTGAATTAGCGTTCGCGCAAATTTCAAAACTATTTAATCTAAAGACAATTAAGTCTAATTCTGCGGCTTCGATATTTGAAATTTTAAATACGTGTAATAAAGTTATTCGAATTCTTTCAACTTTAAAGTTAGAAGTTAATCCTATTGTAGATGTTATTTTAATATTTTTTATTTTGGGAAAACTAGATGATACACTAAGGCAAAGATGGGAATTATCTTTAACTAATCAAGATATTCCAACATTTTTAGAATTGGCTAAATTTCTTGAGCAACAAGCAGAAAGTATTTCAAATCAAACAGAATGCAAGCCAAGGGTTCTTCCTAAAAAGGCTTTTGAAAATAATGTGGTAGTAAACAAAACAGAAAATTTATGCAATATTTGTAATGAAAATCATTCAATTGTTAATTGCCCCATGTATAATAAGATGTCTGTTGATGACAGGTGGAAAGTAGTTAAATCTAAAAAGCTGTGTATAAATTGTTTACGAAAATTTCATATGGCAAATAAATGCCGTTTTACTAACACCTGTAAGGCATGTCATAGAAAACATCATACTTCATTGCATAGATTTTATTCTAATTCTGAAGAACCTAATGTAAGCAATACAGTTTGCTATTCTAATTCAAATTTAGATAATGCCGATTCTGAAAATGTCCCTACAGTGAGGGAAAACATTCAACTTAGCACAACTTGTCTAAATTCTAATAGCGTAGATAGTAATACTCTTTTGTCAACCGCTTTGATAAAGGTAAAAAATGTAGAGGGTAATTTAATTACATGCAGAGCATTGATTAATAATGGCTCTCAGAAATGCCTCATAAGTAAAAGGTGTGAAACTTTATTGCAATTAACAGAGACTGTCTCAAATAAAACAATATCTGCTATAAATAATAAAATGATTGAGACAAATCTTAATGAAGTTATTTTAGAGTTCAAACCTCATTTTAATGAAAATAGAGAATTTAATTGCACTGCACTAGTTGTAAATAAAATCACAAGTGATTTGCCAAATTTTAAATTTGACTCTGGTTATTGGCCACACCTTCAAGGACTTAAACTTGCCGATCCTGCATTTTTTATTGCAAGCCCAATTGACATTTTACTAGGTGCAGATATGTATGCCGAAATGCTATTAGGTCAACTTATTTCTGGAAAAAAGGGTACACCAGTTGCCATAAATTCTCATTTGGGTTGGTTAGTGTCCGGAAGAATTTATTGCTGACGCTAAACACGAAAAGGATGCTGTGAACTGCCACCTAGTTGCTACTTTAGAAAGTCAATTGAGAGCTTTTTGGGAACTTGAATCGATTCCCCAAACTGAGTTGAGAACCAAAGATGAGGCTGATTGCGAAAGTTTTTATGATAGCACAGTCACTTGGAGTTCAGGTCGTTACACTGTGAGATTACCATTTAAGTCTCATAATAATTTTGGCAAATCTGCCTCACAAGCTCTTAAGAGATTTAATTACCTTGAAGCTAAATTAAGTAAAAACAATTCTCTTAGACAACAATACTCGAAATTTATGCTAGAGTACCTTCAGTTAGGACACATGGAACTTGTTCCCCTTGATGAGATTGACAAAGAGAAATCATTCTACCTCCCCCATCATTTTGTCATAAAGGAAGATAGTTCGACTACTAAACTAAGAGTAGTCTTTGATGCGTCCGCTAAAGACTCATGGAAATTCTCTAAATAGTGTACTGTTTTTAGGCCCTCGTTTGCAGCCAGAGCTCTTTTCAATTTTATTGAAATTTAGATATTTCAAGATAGCAATCAGCGGGGACATGGAGAAAATGTATCGCCAAATTCGAATGAACTATGAAGATAGCGGTTTTTAGAGAATTCTTTGGAGATTTAACCCTGATGACGATTTACAGGTTTACAGATTGCTTACAGTGACTTATGGGACAGCCTGGGCTCCTTTTCTTGCGGTACGAACCTTAAAGCAGTTAGCCAACAATGAAGAAGTTTGTTTTCCGGAGGCTTCAAAGGTATTAAAGGATGAATTTTACGTAGACGATTTACTCTCAGGTGCCNTTATGGAGATTTCAATAATTGGATGTCATTTAAAGAATTGTTTTTGAGTTCCATAGATAAAAATCCAGAATTAACAGAACTTCAAAAATTTCAATATTTGTTTGCTAGTTTAAAGGGTACTGCACGCAAGCTTATTTCAGGATTTTCGCTCACAGATGAAAATTATAAGCACGCTTGGCAGACTCTAGTTGCGAGATATGATAATAAACGTGAATTAGCGTTCGCGCAAATTTCAAAACTATTTAATCTAAAGATAATTAAGTCTAATTCTGCGGCTTCGATATTTGAAATTTTAGATACGTGTAATGAAGTTATTCGAATTCTTTCAACTTTAAAGTTAGAAGTTAATCCTATTGTAGATGTAATATTTTTTATTTTGGGAAAACTAGATGATACACTAAGACAGAGATGGGAATTATCTTTAACTAATCAAGATATTCCAACATTTTTAGAATTGGCTAAATTTCTTGAGCAACAGGCAAAAAGTATTTCAAATCAAACAGAATGCAAGCCAAGGGTTCTTCCTAAAAAGGCTTTTGTAAATAATGTGGTAGTAAACAAAACAGAAAATTTATGCAATATTTGTATCGAAAATCATTCAATTGTTAATTGTCCCATGTATAATAAGATGTCTGTTGATGGCAGGTGGAAAGTAGTTAAATCTAAAAAGCTGTGTATAAATTGTTTACGAAAATTTCATATGGCAAATAAATGCCGTTTTACTAACACCTGTAAAGCATGTCATAGAAAACATCATACTTTATTGCATAGATTTTATTCTAAATCTGAAGAACCTAATGTAAGCAATACAGTTTGCTATTCTAATTCAAATTTAGATAATGCCAATTCTGAAAATGTTCCTACAGTGAGGGAAAACATTCAACTTAGCACAACTTGTCTAAATTCTAATAGTGTGGATGGTAATACTCTTTTGACAATCGCTTTGATAAAGGTAAAAAATGTAGAGGGTAATTTAATTACATGCAGAGCATTGATTAATAATGGCTCTCAGAAATGCCTCATAAGTAAAAGGTGTGCAGCTTTATTGCAATTAACAGAGACTGTCTCAAATAAAACAATATCTGCTATAAATAATACAATGATTGAGACAAATCTTAATAAAGTTATTTTAGAGTTCAAACCTCATTTTAATGAAAACAGAGAATTTAATTGCACTGCACTAGTTGTAAATAAAATCACAAGTGATTTGCCAAATTTTAAATTTGACTCTAGTTATTGGCCACACCTTCAAGGACTTAAACTTGCCGATCCTACATTTTTTATTGTAAGCCCAATTGACATTTTACTAGGTGCAGATATGTATGCCGAAATGTTATTAGGTCAACTTATTTCTGGAAAAAAGGGTACACCAGTTGCCATAAATTCTCATTTGGGTTGGTTAGTGTCCGGAAGAATTTTTTCTGACGCTAAACACGAAAAGGATGTTGTGAACTGCCACCTAGTTGCTACTTTAGAAAGTTAATTGAAAGCTTTTTGGGAACTTGAATCGATTCCCCAAATTGAGTTGAGAACCAAAGATGATGCTGATTGCGAAAGTTTTTATGATAGCACAGTCACTTGGAGTTCAGGTCGTTACACTGTAAGATTACCATTTAAGTCTAATAATAATTTTGGCAATTCTGCCTCACAAGCTCTTAAGAGATTTAATTACCTTGAAGCTAAATTAAGTAAAAACAATTCTCTTAGACAACAATACTCGAAATTTATGCTAGAGTACCTTCAGTTAGGACGCATGGAACTTGTTCCCCTTGATGAGATTGACAAAGAGAAATCATTCTACCACCCCCATCATTTTGTCATAAAGGAAGATAGTTCGACTACTAAACTAAGAGTAGTCTTTGATGCGTCCGCTAAAGACTCTAATGGAAACTCTCTAAATAGTGTACTGTTTTTAGGCCCTCGTTTGCAGCCAGAGCTCTTTTCAATTTTATTGAAATTTAGATATTTCAAGATAGCAATCAGCGGGGACATGGAGAAAATGTATCGCCAAATTCGAATGAACTATGAAGATAGCGGTTTTTAGAGAATTCTTTGGAGATTTAACCCTGATGACGATTTACAGGTTTACAGATTGCTTACAGTGACTTATGGGACAGCCTGGGCTCCTTTTCTTGCGGTACGAACCTTAAAGCAGTTAGCCAACAATGAAGAAGTTTGTTTTCCGGAGGCTTCAAAGGTATTAAAGGATGAATTTTACGTAGACGATTTACTCTCAGGGGCCGATTCTATTGCAGAAGCTAAACAACTTGTGACTAATCTCAATGCACTTCTAGAGAGAGGAGGATTTAATTTAAGGAAATGGGCTTCCTATTGTCCAGAAGTTCTTAACAATATCCCTGACTATGCTCTTGCTTGTCGAGACATTTCTATTAAAGAAAACCAGTCTCATAAGATTTTAGGACTGTTTTGGAACTTTAAGGAAGATACATTTCAAGTTAAGATTTCACAGCCAGGTGAAGTTCTATCAAAAAGAAATCTCCTCTCAGTCATCGCAAAGATTTATGACCCCCTAGGCTTCTTGTCTCCAACTACTATTGTCTTAAAAATAATGCTACAAAATCTTTGGAAAAATAAGTTGCCTTGGGATGAACCTATTCCCGAAGAAGTAGATAAGAATTGGAAAACATTTCATTCGGAAATGGAGCAACTTAGAGACATAAAAATCAAACGACGATTAATGCCAGCTGACACTCCAGCTAAACGTGTTCAACTCCATGGCTTTTGTGATGCTTCTATTAAAGCATATTCAGCAGTTTTCTATATTCATTCTGTGCATGACAACGAAGTCACTGTCAATATAATGACTGCTAAAACAAGGGTAGCTCCACTAAAAGCAATTTCACTTCCACGTCTAGAATTATGCACTGCCCATCTACTATCTAAACTGTTTGATACAATTTCAAGATTGATGATCAAATTCTGGGATCACGTTTTCCTTTGGACTGATTCAGAAATAGTACTTAGCTGGTTACGATCAGATTCATTAAAGGATCAATTTGTCAGAAATAGAGTAGCCATGATCACATCTTTAACAGCATCAATAACTTGGAATCACGTCTCTGGTCATTCGAATCCTGCCGACTGCGCCTATCGAGGAATTTTTCCAAGGAAGCTTATGAACTTGGAACTTTGGTGGCAAGGCTCGGAGTGGCTATCTAATGCAAATTCAGCATTCACCGAAGAGGTTAAGCCAAACTCTGTTCACACTTCCATCCCTGACACTCTAATACATGCCTCAGCAGTTGAAAGTAATTCGATGCAAGAGTTAACTCAAAAATATTCATCATTCAGCAAATTAATAAGAGTGATTGCTTGGTGTAAAAGATTCGTGTTCAACTCGAGAAATTCGGAAAATCGGATAAGCGGTTGTCTTCAAGTTTGTGAACTGGATAATCCTCTTATCGCAATTATTAAAGAAATTCAAAGTGTGGAATTCAGTGCTGAAATTAAGTCAATCAAAAATAAAGGCTGTGTTCCAGTAAACTCTAAAATCATAACCCTTTCACCTTTTCTAGACTCTGACAAGGTCTTAAGAATTGGTGGGAGACTCAAGAATTCGAATCTGTCACTATCGGCTAAGCATCCTATTCTTTTACCGAGAAGTCATCATGTTCTCAAGCTCCTTATAGAATATTATCATAAGCTTTCGTTACATTCTGGCATTTCTGTAGTTTTATCTTTAATTCGGCAAAAATTTTGGTTTCCAGCTGGGAGAAACACAGTGAGAAAAATCCTCAGAGACTGTACAACTTGTTTAAAGGTAAATGCTGTTTCTTCAAGCCAGCTCATGGCCGATTTGCCTCGTGACCGAGTTATTCCATCTAAACCTTTCCAACGTTGTTGGGCTGGACTTTGCAGGTCCAATTTCAGCCAAACCAAATTTACCTAGATCTAAAGTCACTTTAAAGTCGTACATTGCACTTTTCATTTGTTTTACTACGAAGGCTGTCCACTTGGAACTTGTCTCTGATTTGTCAACAGAAGCCTTTTTAGCATCCTTTCGTCGATTTACTGCTAGACGATGGTTGCCATCTGATGTATACAGTGATAATGCCACAAATTTTAAAGGAGCCAGTAACTATTTGTAGTCTCTGTACAAAATTGTTTGAGACAATTCAGTCCAAGATTTTTCCAGCAACCTTCAAATCTCTTGGCACTTTATTCCTCCAGCAACACCTCATTTTGGCGGACTCTGGGAGTCTAATATTAAATCAACCAAGAGACACCTGCTGAAAGTATGCTGCTCAGCTACACTGAATTTCGAAGAACTGGCTACGCTCTTGTGTCAAGTTGAGGCTTGCCTCAATTCTCAACCGTTATGTCCATTAACCTCAGAAATTAGTGATCTAGAGGCTCTTACCCCTGGACATTTTATTGTGGGTGCTCCACTTCTTTCATTGTCTGAGAGAGACCCATCACCATCCATGTGTCTCAAGTCTAGATGGTCTTTAATTCAAAAACTTCGTACTCAATTTTGGATCAAATGGAGTAAAGATTATCTCCAAACTCTACAAGCAAAGTCTAAATGGACTGTTTCTGGCTCAGAGTTTAATGTTGGAGATTTAGTTCTTCTAAAAATGACAATGTCCCACCTCCATTAAAGTGGACTCTTGCACGAGTTGTGCAAGTATTTCCTGGAAACGATGGTATTATTAGGGTTGTTAAATTAAGAACAGCTCATAGAGAAATCACCAGGCCTATCTGTAAAGTATGTCCATTGATAAAAAAATGACATTTCCACCTCCTTGGGTGGCAGGATGTCTTGACTTTTTTTATAATTCCAATAACAGATGGCGCCACTGGTATTGTTAATCAAGAAAGATTTTGTTTTGTTATTTTTTTCTTCCCTTTTTCAGTTTCAGTTTAGATTTAAGTCATTATGTTGGTAAGATGAGTAATATTTTATATTTGGCAATATGGCCATTGAAATTTCAATTACTCATTTATAATTCAATGAAAAATATTTCCATGTTATGTACAAATCATGCTCTGTTAAATCAATCAAAGAAATAAAAGTAAATGTCCGGTAAGATTTTGAAAACTTATTTGTTGTGCTAAGTTGTCATTATTTTCATTTTCCCACATTGTATTAGTTTCTATAAATTTAATGATATTCTACTAATTTTTATGATTTTTCCTTTATATAAGTTTATGATTTATTTAAGGTTCATTCCACAAGTAATTGCGCATGCGTCACTTCTGATGAAATGCGCATGTGCCTGTGAAAAATATCTAACTTACTAAGTTAAAATGAAAGATTTTGCAAAAATTCCTAAGTCGAAAACGCTAACGTGATGGAATATCATTTTGACTTTGACTGCAAAATCAAAACAAACATTTACAACGGATGTGGACTATTTCTTTAAATCTGGGGCAAACGATTCAGGATGCCTTGCTCTACGTAAAACTCCGAATCGATGATCAAAAAAATTTAGTATAATGTAGATTTTGATGAATTCAGCGATGAAGAATGTTTTTATTATTATTAATAATAATTTAAGGAATATTATTGAGCTTCTATTGATCAAACCAACTGACCAGCTAGTTCACTTTTCTAAATAAGTATAATTTCAAGTATTTCGAGATTTAAAAACCTACAAACAAAAATCAATACAATATGTAAGCATAATGAACTTGTATTGCTCAAGTGAGAGTGGATTTAACTTTTTGTCTCTCTTACACTCATTAGATGTCCTGGTGAATTTGCTATTAAAATGTTTAGTGCAAGGTATGTTAACATCAAAATAATATGCTAATTATTGCAATTATGACACCTTTAATGGATAAAGAATCAAAATAGCAACTTTGCAAAATCCAATTGTTCACTTATTTGCTTTTATTAATTATGAATGAATTTCATTTGTAAGGTTTTTTTTCCCAAAATGAAAAGAATTGGTATTATTATTAGTTTGGTATTTTTAGGTTTCAGTCCAGACAACAGAAGATTTTACCTGCAAAAATTGGCAGAGGCTTTTATTTTAACGAATCTGGGAATAAGCGACCAAAATTTTTTCCTAAAAGAACTGGTGAAATATTTTTTTTTTTTACATATAACTTTTTAATTCAAGATAAAACATTTTGATGATTTATTTGAAAACTAGAAGAAACTTCCTACAAAATCTTTCTTAGCTGTAGGGTAATAAATCAAAGAATTACGAGACTATTGAACTGGAATGATCAGCAGAAAAATATGGGAGAATAATTAATAGACGTTTGAAATTTTATAAAAATTCTCTTTTCAGGTCTCGCTTTGTGGTACATTTATAAAGACTATAGGCGATAATAAGATACCTTAAAGCTTTCCCAAAATTATAATTTTCAGGATATTTTCAATTTTTGATTTTAGCATCTATATCTGTTCTATTTTCGCTCTATAATAGAAATATAAAATTTGGAAGAAGACACACTTTATTTGCATAAAATTTGAAAAAAAAAAGACTGAACATCATAGTTATGGGGGTG